TCCTCCAACCCGCCCGCTCTCCGCGCTCGTTGCGGCGCCTGGGCACCGAGATGCCGGGCAACCTACCGGGAGACTGCGAGGCCCGAGCTCGGGGGCGGGCCCGGCCCTGCCCGAGGGATCCGGCTGCAAGCTGCGCCCGCACTTGGCTAAGAATGATGGCTGCCACTTATGGAGCCTTCACTTGGTGCCAGGACCTTTGACAGTAAAGGTCTCTGACCCTTAAAGAAACCTTACCAGGTTTTGCTGTGCCCTTTTTATAGGGAGAGAAACTGAGTCAGCTCAGGGAGGCCCAGGGACTTGCTCAGAGCCACGTAGCCTGATCCGAAGTTTCTGATCCATTCTCCTGGGCTTGCATTGGAAGTACAGGGTCCTGAACTGCCCGTGACTGATTGTGTCACATTCCCACACCATAAGGAATTTTTCGGCCCCTGGTTCTAATCTAACCTCTGTAAGATGGCAGGCAGAATGTGATCCAAAGACTTTGTACAACGCCTGCCGCATAGTAAGTGTACAGGAGATGTTGGCCAAATCTGAGTATCTACTTATGACTGTAAGCACCAAGGCAGCTTCAGGCCAAGTCACACCTGTAATTGTTTGGCTTCTTTACTCCATGTGGGCAAGTACTTTGAGAGAACAGTTACCCTCCCTCCACTTGGAGGCTTTTTTTTGTCCACCTTCTGCACCCACCCTACCCCAATGACTTATCTTCCACTGATGCCCTGGTGTAACTTCCAAGCTGATCTTGCCCTGTGACATAGGCATCTATCAACTCCTCTTCCTTGCTTGAAAAAAACAAGTTATCTAACTTTATTAGGAAAATTATCAAACATACTATAAGAGCAGACGAAATGCTGTAATGAACTTCCAAGTACTCATCTTCCATCTGTGACAGTTATCAGAATTTTGCCATTCTTGTTTTATCTTCCTCACCCCCAATATATAGACATACACTGGAGAGAACATTTATTGTTCAACCTAGGCACAGCCCAGAATGTGGTACATAGTAGACACTCAGAAAAAAACGTTCATTTGCTGGTGTGGATGGAAGATAGGTGGGTGGGTGGGTGGATAGGTGTGTGGAAGGATAGATCACTAGTACTTTGGGGATGCCTTGTGCTGATACCCTAGTCCAGTGGTTCTCAACCTTCCTAATGCCGTGACCCTTTAATACAGTTCCTCATGTTGTGGTGACCCCCAACCATAAAATTATTTTCGTTGCTACTTCATAACTAATTTTACTACTGTTATGAATCGTAATGTAAATATCTGATATTCAGGATGTATTTTCATTGTTACAAATTGAACATAATTAAAGCATAGTGATTAATCACACAAACAATATGTAATATATGTGTTTTAGGTGACCCCTGTGAAAGGGTCATTCCACCCCCAAAGGGGTCGCGACCCACAGGTTGAGAACCGCTGCCCTAGTCTGATGGGAGATGCAACCTAAATTCTCCCCCTGAATACCAAGGCAACAACCTCTACCTGGCCTCCACAAAGGAGAAACTGTTGAATCACTCAAAATCTTAGCTAACCGTAAAGATTTTATTTTAAAATCAAAATGTGTTAATAATGTATCTCTAGGGTTTGAGGCGAGAGGGAAAAAGATAGCTCTCCCCCTGTTGGTCTCCCTTCATAGCTTTCTTAACTCCTTCCCTTGTTTTGAGACAGCCTGGCATGGGTTCATTAAGAGAGAGCTTTAATACATTCAAATATCATTTAATTCCTCAAAAATCATTCTTTTACTACATGGACTACCCATGGGCATTTTGCTCCCTCACCCTGGCATCTGTGCTCTCCTCAATCCACACCCATTTACCAATCCAACAATTTCTCCTTAATCCCTGACCTCAGTTAGCTCTCACTACTATTCCCAAATAAGGAATTCCCAGGCCTTCATTTTTTGATAGCTACCTGGGGACAGTCCCTGGAGTCTGGATTATATGAAGCTCACCCCAAACTCTTTAAAAAATATGTTTTTATTGATTTGAAAGAGGAAGGGAGGGAGAAGAGAAAAAGAGGAAGGGAGTGGGGGAAAGAAACATCAATATAAGAGAGAAACATTAATCAGCTGCCTCCTGCACACTCTCTACTAGGAATAGAGCCTGAAACCCAGCATGTGCCCTGACAGGCAATCCAACCAGCGACCTTTTAGTGCATGGGATGACACTCAACCAACTGAGCCACACCTGCCAGGGTCCAACCCAAACTCAAAGTACATAATGATTCTTCATTTCTTTCAGTCCCCTTAGCACAGTGGTTCTCAACCTTCCTAATGCTGCGACCTTTTAATACAGTTCCTCATGTTGTGGTGACCCCCAACCATAAAATTATTTTCGTTGCTACTTCATAACTGTAATTTTGCTACTGTTATGAATTGTAATGTAAATATCTGATATGCAGGATGTATTTTCATTGTTACAAATTGAACATAATTAAAGCATAGTGATTAATAACAAAAACAATATGTAATTATATATGTGTTTTCCAGTGGTCTTAGGCAACTCCTGTGAAAGGGTCGTTTGACCCCCAAAGGGGTCGTGACCCACAGGTTGAGAACCGCTGCCTTCGCATGTATTTTTCACTAGCTCTTCTTTTAACACCTCATTATTTATTGGCATGCATTCAGCTATGCCACAAAAAACAGTCTTGTTTCCCCATCCCTGCCTTACTCTCTTGCTCTCCTTCCATTCTTGAATTCATCTTTAAGCTGACTTAAGCCAGTTGACATAGTGGGCTTAACATGGAAGCCACTGTGTTCTATGGTCTGCTTCAATTTCCATCACGGTGCTGGTTAACACAATGGATAACCACAAATTCTGGATAAGTGTGAGTCTCATTTGCTACTGTCCCTATAATGGGCATCTTATCTATACCAGGCTAATGACAGCCCCCCTCCCTGAGCCTAGGAACAGTTTGCGTGGAACAGGATTACTCAGAGAAAATCAGAGGCTTCCCTAGACCTCAGCCTAGAAAGAAGGTGAGTTCAGACACCTGAGGAAGTTTAGTATAGCTGGTGAGAAAAAGGGGTTGAAATGTGGCTGGGAAAGGAGGAATTGTAAACCATTTTAAACACATGGGACTTTATCCTCCAACGATGACGCTAACTGCCTAGAGCTGCTTCTGTGCATTGACAAGTATTTAAAAGCTGACCCTTTTTCTTGGTCATCTCCAAGGGCTTCTCAAAGACCACTTAGTCACTAACCTCCCTGGCTGATTATGCTCCTTCTGCAAGCCCTGGTCTTCAGAATTCTATAAGGAGTTTCCTCATAGTTGAGACCCCTCTTTTTTTTTAAATCCTCACCCAACGATATTTTCCCCATAGATTTTTAGAGAGAATGGAAGGGAGAGGGAGAGACAGAGAGAAACACCGATGTGAGAGACACATCAATTGGTTGCCTCCCCCCACTGGGAACGGGAGCCTACAACTGAGGTACGTGCTCTCAACCAGAATTGAACCAGGAACCCCTTAGTCCACAGGCCAACACTCTATCCACTGAGCCAAACTGGCTAGGGTGAGACCCCTTTTCTTTGGCAGTCCCTTTAAGATGGCCCATGGCTGGCTTTCTCTTTCTATGTTTGGTCTGCAGAAAACACACAGATGTCCTTTGTCTGCACATACTCTAGTGCAGGCATTTTCTCACCAGCATGGACACATCCTGCATGCCA